AAGGATTCCTTTACCGTGGGAATTTCCGCAGCCTGTTTTGAGGATAGTGGGACATTGTTTGTTGGGGCCATTGAATTCAGAAGATATTAAGGACGCGGGTTCGGTTGCTGTTGGAAGATTGTATGTTAGGGCTTCTCATGATTTGGTTCCTCAGGCGATTATAGGAACGAGGAGTTTGATTCAGCTTCATAAGAGAGAGCGAGCTGCTGCCCCGGCCGAGGCTAATTCATCTTCCAATGTTAATACTCCTAGCAAGGCGAAGAAACCTGAAATTCTTTTGGTTTCTAAGTGATTCTTCTTTGCAGGTGAAATGCTTATTCTAGTTATGCTTAATCTTGCACGTGGGATATAATTATGTTAATACAGATTGCTACTTATTTTAATCTGCATTTTTTCGATTCAGTGTACATGTGTAGTTACTTGTAGTGTGTATGTTGTTCTGCTGAATTGCTGTTAAATTGAGAAGCATTGTGTTTTCCATAACTTAGTTCAATAAAGTTAGTTTCTGTATCATTTGATATGTTATCTGCATTTGCTTTCGGCAGGAGCTTGTTCTGTTTCTGGAGTTGTTTGAAGCTGCAATGTTTTTTTCCAGATGTTGTAGAAATTGTTAAAGATGGAGGTAATATACAGACATAGTAATTTGATTTGAGACTCTGATCGTGTTCAGTTTAGTTATTCTTGTGCGTTTATGGGTCATTTTCTAAACCTCTCTGATTTTCAGTTAGGTTCTATTGACAATTGTTATTGTTTGCTTCGTTGATATGAATTGGGCCTTTCCTGATTCATCTTTTTTATGATGGAAAACAACATTTTACCTAAGTGGAAAACTAAAGGAATCGAGAAATTGCTCATAGCAAGGTTCAGACATCAAAGAAAACTAATACCTAGAATTGGATTATTCCAACAATTATGTGAATCATAAATCATCTATTCATGATTTTCTTACAAACAATTATGTTAATCATAAATCATGACATTTTTTATGAACCTGCATCAGTTCTTTGTTTGATTGCTTCTTAATATTTTGACGAGGTCATTTGATGCACATATCATGTTGATATGATTTTTGGAGCATTGGGAAGCTTATAAAGCTACACAACTTTGTCTTCAATAGCAAAATCTAAAAATCGACACTATCACTATGACCGTGGCCCTCTAAGTTCTTGGACAGATTCAATCTCTGATTAATTTAGTAAATTAAGTTCCATATATCTAGAACTTCCACCGCATGCTCTACGTCTTGAGTCAGCAGGTGTCTAGTAACTCAAAACTCTCCAAAATCTTAGGGTCTTATGAGAGATTGAGTTGCTATGGTGAAGAACAAGCCTTTACCACCATTAGATAGCTAGGGCTTGATATAAAACCCTCAATTGCTTCATGTTTCTTTTGTTATAGTTGGTATTGTTGGTTGTGTCTTCAGCCCTTAATTATGCTTATATAGAGTTTGGGTGGGGAACTTAAGACTCATAGAGGGTTTCTAGTTCCTGTAGGAAATTTTATTTAGGTTTATTACCCTAAAAATCAATAGATATCAAATATTAATTTTGAAGTTAATGTTATTCAATTACCTTTCCTATATAATATATGATAGATTATTGTTAACTTGACATTTATTATATATTATTGAGCACAAATCCATGATTTACGTTTTATATGAATTTTGTTTCAAAGTGAGGCTTGTACAAAGAATATAAATCATGAAATTCTTGTAACTTTATCATTGTTTGTTCACAAATTGTGTGAACTAGGCTCTTCATTGATAAGATTGTAAAATATCACTTCGGTATGTTATGGAGTGTATTATTGATTACAAAGATAAAACCAATTGAAAGGAAGACATATTTTAGTGGCTAGGTTTTGTCTTTTAAGTAATACCCTTCTTTTGTTNCCCGATTCATCTTTTTTATGATGGAAAACAACATTTTACCTAAGTGGAAAACTAAAGGAATCGAGAAATTGCTCATAGCAAGGTTCAGACATCAAAGAAAACTAATACCTAGAATTGGATTATTCCAACAATTATGTGAATCATAAATCATCTATTCATGATTTTCTTACAAACAATTATGTTAATCATAAATCATGACATTTTTTATGAACCTGCATCAGTTCTTTGTTTGATTGCTTCTTAATATTTTGACGAGGTCATTTGATGCACATATCATGTTGATATGATTTTTGGAGCATTGGGAAGCTTATAAAGCTACACAACTTTGTCTTCAATAGCAAAATCTAAAAATCGACACTATCACTATGACCGTGGCCCTCTAAGTTCTTGGACAGATTCAATCTCTGATTAATTTAGTAAATTAAGTTCCATATATCTAGAACTTCCACCGCATGCTCTACGTCTTGAGTCAGCAGGTGTCTAGTAACTCAAAACTCTCCAAAATCTTAGGGTCTTATGAGAGATTGAGTTGCTATGGTGAAGAACAAGCCTTTACCACCATTAGATAGCTAGGGCTTGATATAAAACCCTCAATTGCTTCATGTTTCTTTTGTTATAGTTGGTATTGTTGGTTGTGTCTTCAGCCCTTAATTATGCTTATATAGAGTTTGGGTGGGGAACTTAAGACTCATAGAGGGTTTCTAGTTCCTGTAGGAAATTTTATTTAGGTTTATTACCCTAAAAATCAATAGATATCAAATATTAATTTTGAAGTTAATGTTATTCAATTACCTTTCCTATATAATATATGATAGATTATTGTTAACTTGACATTTATTATATATTATTGAGCACAAATCCATGATTTACGTTTTATATGAATTTTGTTTCAAAGTGAGGCTCGTACAAAGATTATAAATCATGAAATTCTTGTAACTTTATCATTGTTTGTTCACAAATTGTGTGAACTAGGCTCTTCATTGATAAGATTGTAAAATATCACTTCGGTATGTTATGGAGTGTATTATTGATTACAAAGATAAAATCAATTGAAAGGAAGACATATTTTAGTGGCTAGGTTTTGTCTTTTAAGTAATACCCTTCTTTTGTTTAAGTTCTTTTGTTAACTTAAACTTCTCAATAGGGAAAATTACTTAAAAGAATACTTTTTGGGGCTGAATTGATAACTTAAACTTTTTTGGGGGGTGTAAAGGCTGGTGTATTGTGTTTTTGCTTGGGACAAATGGGTTAGGAGGATGTTAGTTGTAGAGCAAGAAAAATGCTAGAATCCAAATTGGTTGTGAATTGGCAGTGGCTAGGTTCCATTGGCGGGGAAGTTGATATAAGAAATAAGAACAAAATCATCCAAATTCAGTGAAAAAAATCTTTCTTACCAGATGACGGAAAAGCCGGTCATTGTTTATGTCCCCAAAACTAAGGGGGTGAGATTTTCTTTAGCCTAGGTAGGGCGTGTTAGGATATCATTCTTTTGCTTTCTCTGTGAATGAGTTCGTAATCCTTATCACTTTGTATGGCCAGTTGACACTTTGATGTTATTTACACTCAAATCCACTTCTTTATTCTGCAGGTATTTGCTTCATTATGGCAATGAGATGTAGATAGTACAGAAATATGATTTGGGCAAAATGACATCGATGATTGCATGATTACTATCAATGAGATGGAGATGTTAACATTTTTTTCGAACAAGTTCTTTATTAGGAGTTGTAACAAATTGCTTAAAGAGCAAGATCAGGAGCACATACAAAATATCTGAACAAGTTCTTTACTGTTAAGTTTGAACGTACTAATTAACAGTGCTACAATTAAACAAATATCTCTATCTGATTTAGTACATTAGATTTGTGTACGTGTGAGAATGGTCATGTTTGTGCTTGAAAGATCACACAGGTTGATGTCACTGATTATGGTGAAATATTATCAGCAAGATAAGATTGATGGGAAAAAGCATTAGAACGATTGAAATCATAGAATGCAGAGTTTATTCCTTCAAAATGCAATAGACATGGCTTCTAATTCTTACAGATTATATGTTAACAACCTTATGATTCATGAAGAATTTATCATGCAACAAATTTCAAGACTCATGCATATGTGATCACTGAACTGATAGTTTATTTTCTCATGATACAAAAACAATAATGAGCCGCTCTTGTNCCCTTCTTTTGTTAACTTAAACTTCTCAATAGGGAAAATTACTTAAAAGAACACTTTTTGTGGCTGAATTGATAACTTAAACTTTTTTGGGGGGTGTAAAGACTGGTGTATTGTGTTTTTGCTTGGGACAAATGGGTTAGGAGGATGTTAATTTGAGTTGTAGAGCAAGAAAAATGCTAGAATCCAAATTGGTTGTGAATTGGCAGTGGCTGGGTTCCATTGGCGGGGAAGTTGATATAAGAAATAAGAACAAAATCATCCAAATTCAGTGTAAAAAATCTTTCTTACAAGATGACGGAAAAGCCGGTCATTGTTTATGTCCCCAAAACTAAGGGGGTGAGATTTTCTTTAGCCTAGGTAGGGCGTGTTAGGATATCATTCTTTTGCTTTCTCTGTGAATGAGTTCGTAATCCTTATCACTTTGTATGGCCAGTTGACACTTTGATGTTATTTACACTCAAATCCACTTCTTTATTCTGCAGGTATTTGCTTCATTATGGCAATGAGATGTAGATAGTACAGAAATATGATTTGGGCAAAATGACATCGATGATTGCATGATTACTATCAATGAGATGGAGATGTTAACATTTTTTTCGAACAAGTTCTTTATTAGGAGTTGTAACAAATTGCTTAAAGAGCAAGATCAGGAGCACATACAAAATATCTGAACAAGTTCTTTACTGTTAAGTTTGAACATACTAATTAACAGTACTGCAATTAAACAAATATCTCTATCTGATTTAGTACATTAGATTTGTGTACGTGTGAGAATGGTCATGTTTGTGCTTGAAAGATCACACAGGTTGATGTCACTGATTATGGTGAAATATTATCAGCAAGATAAGATTGATGAGAAAAAGCATTAGAATGATTGAAATCATAGAATGCAGAGTTTATTCCTTCAAAATGCAATAGACATGGCTTCTAATTCTTACAGATTATATGTTAACAACCTTATGATTCATGAAGAATTTATCATGCGACAAATTTCAAGACTCATGCATATGTGATCACTGAACTGATAGTTTATTTTCTCATGATACAAAAACAATAATGAGCCGCTCTTGTTATGGGTCATCTTCTGATAAACTATTTTGAGGCGTTGGTAGATATAGATTCATCTGTGGAGGATTGATCCACTGATAAATCTTCTTCATCTTCTGATTCCACAAACCTTATGTTTTCCACCTCTCTCACAACCTCTGTCATCTCTGGTCGCTTCTCCGGAGACTTATCACAGCATCGTATTGCAATTTGTAGGAGTTTTAGCATCCCGTGGCCAGCGCCTCTCCGTACCGATATCTCTGGGTCAAATATCTCGGCCGTCCACTCTTCCCTAACTGCTCGAATAACCCATCTAGTAAGATCAACACCTTTGATTCCTGGTGGAGCTGAGTGAACTGAAATTCTTCCGGTCAACAGTTCTAAAAGAAGGCAACCATAACTCCAAACATCAGATTTTCTGGAAATCTTTTTGCTACTTTGATATTCTGGTGATTTGTATGAAACCATTCGTTGAACCGCAATGGGATGTGCCACTAATGAAGAAAAACCGTAGTCTGAAACAAGAACTCTTTCTTCTTCATCAAGAAGAATGTTGGAAGGCTTTAGATTACCATGAGGAACAATGCTTTGTGACCTCGTATCAAGGTGAAGATACTCCAAGGCTCTCGCCACGCCTCTGGCAACCGATAATCTTGAGCTCCATTTAAATGGAATTCGGTCCTGACTTGAAGTCCCTCCTGCATGACAATTTCAGGACGATAAGAATAGTAAAGTGAGGATTATATATATATATATATATACACACACACACGCTAGGATGGCTGAAACACCCCGCCTGGGTGGGGGTGGGGGTGGGGTTTGGATAAGTAGGGACAGGGGCAGAGATATTGTCAACCCTATATGAGCATACATAAGTGGAAAGTTGACAGGATAGCTAGCTAGCTTTACCATGAATGAGGTTGAAGAGGTTTCCATTTTCTGCATATTTGAAAACCAACAATTTCTCTTCCTTGGAATAGTAATAAGCAAGAAGAGGAAGCAAATTTGGGTGCTTATGGCTGGCAATTATGTGAAGTTGCTTTGTGAAATCTTCATTGCTCATTGGTTTCAAGTCCCTTAGGCGTTTCACAACAACAGCTGTTCTGCCTTCAAGTTTAGCCTTGTAACTATTACCAAAAATCCCCTTCCCCAGTCCCTCAGCTGATGCTTTCAGAAGATCATTCAGTTCAAATCCTGCTTCATCCACCATGAATATCAAATTTCCTTTCTTCTCTTGATCCCCTCCAACAATGACTTTGTTCTTACCCGTCTCCGCGTTCCTTTGGACTTCCGTCTCCTCTTCTTCAGCCTCATACTCTTCCACTTCATCATCCTCTTCCTTCTTCACCACCCTTTTACGATTCCTCCCTTTATTATAGAAGTAAAATATAGTAAATGAAATTACTCCAATCAGACCAGCCACCACAATAAGAATAAGCATAGTTTTCGGAAAGTCTGACTTGTGGGAATCTTTATCATCACCAGGAGTTCCGGTATCATTTTGGCTAAAGCTGCAGGGATTAAAGGATGGTGAACCGCATAACTCAAGATTTTTTGAAAAGGAAGTACTGTTAAATGATTGAAGAGTTGGAGTTTTGGGGATTTCGCCACTGAGATTATTGTTGGAGACGTTAAAAACTTTCAGGCTAGACTGATTAAACGCCGGGATGGCGCCTGTCAATTTGTTATCCTGAAGCTGCAATGACTCAAGGGAATCAAGACTCAATAGCGAAGTTGAAATAGTTCCGGAAAGGTTGTTGCCTGAAAGATCAATATCCTTCAACTTGTGGTTTGAAGAGAAATCCATTACATTTCCTGATATTGAGTTGTTGTTGAAGCTTAAGATTGTCAATTCAGGAACCTTCATGAATGCATCAGAATTTACAATCCCCTTGAGACTCATCCCTTGTAAAATAATTCCGGTAACATTACCGTTAACACATTGAATGCCATACCATTGAGGAGGATAATTGTTGAAGCAATGAATGCCAGTCCAGTTTTGGTTTAAGAAAGGGTCATTGAACATGGCTTTGAGTGCAAACAAATCGTGCAATTCCTGTACATTATATTGTGCAAAAGAGTAATAGAATAATAAGAACAGAATGAGAAAGGCAAAATATTTAGTGAATAGAGAACAACCCATCATGCAATTCAAAGTGGGAGATTGATTTGGGTGGTAAAGATGAAGAATTAGTAGCCAAATGGCTCGATGAAATCGTAAATATTCTCATTAAATCCTATTACAGCTAATAATATTTTCTTAGTTGTAGACAAAAACAAGGCTACTATCAACCCTATCTGTTGGACTGTTTAGCTGAGAATCCTATAAAGGCTGCAAGGAATTCCAACACTTGAACACACCTCAAACCTCAATAATCCCATATATTTATACAAAAAAATATTTTATAATTTATTAACAATTGGGGTTTTATTTCATTCTTCTTATCTGTCATCATTTAGTATTAAACTCATCTATTTTTATAATGGATATTTGATATTTTTTAGGGGTTTCTAATAATTATAAGAGAGATTTAATACTTTTTGAACAAACAGATGAGTTTAATACTAAATAATTTTATAGAGAAATATAAAATAACCCCTTAATAATTGTGAAATTAATGCATGTTTCCTCAATCAAGGGTTGACATTGTTTAATACTTGGGATATTGAATGTTCGGTATATGGCAATGATTGAAGAAGTTGGATTGGTTGGAAGACAAATAGATATGTCTATTTGATTTATAATATTAAAAGAGCTTATCATCAGATTGATCAATCAATACTCCGTAGAGACACAAGCCTTGATATAATCTATTGTACTACAACATAAATATTACTACATCACATTTGCTCCTAATTCTGATTTTTCAAACCAAATGAAGAGGTGGAAACTTCAATAAGAAAAGTAAACTAATCATCTATGCTCCGAACACCAAAATATTACTCCTCGACATTACTGAAGCTTCTTATAAGATTTCAAACAGTAATAATATTATACACAAAAGAAAAAAATTAACATGTTTGGAAATTTTTATATTTTCGAGCAATGATAGAAACTAAACTACTAACTAATAAAATCATTACATTCAAATTGTAAAACCCTAATAAGGGAGGTGAAAAGGAGATTAAAAAAATTTAATGCAGAATAATGAAAACCTCCAACTACCCAAATGCTATGAACAATAAATAACTATAATGATAAGCAATAAATAAATGAGAAGTAAATAACAAGTAATAAATGAGTAAAGAGAAGAGAAATGCTCATAGACTTTATAGTGGTTCGAAGCTTCGATCACGAGCCTCCTACATCCACTTCTTCAAGGCAAACTCCTTAAAGTTATGCTAGAATCGGATTTCGCCAATACAATAGTTTCCACAGGATTTGGCCTTTACAAAAGTTTGACAGGATTTCGCCTTCAAATTTACAGGATTTCACCCAATAATATGAGATAAAAGTTTTTGTAAATGATTGCCTCTAAGCTAAGCTAATACACAATGGGTTCAAAGTTTCTCTCTAAAGATATTAGTTTTAGTACAAATGAGAGATTGATTTTTGCTTTGGATTGAGCTATAGGGTTTGCAAGATTGAATGTTGGATTTTGCACAGTTCTCTCTCTTGTTTTCTCGCAATAAATCGCCTTATTTAAGTCTTCACCAACCCTTAGAAAATTTGAGTCGTTGATGTATTTAATGCACTTTCGCAAAGCTGCAGAACCCAGAGGAACAGGCGTTCCAACATTGGGAATAGGTGTTCCTACCACCAACAGTCACTTTTATTTGAATCTTAGGGTTTGGAATGATCATTCTTCTATCGTGAACGAGCGTTCACCTATCATGAATGGGCATTCCATCTTGGATCTCCTAATGTCCAAAAATTCCAGAACCTTGAATGACTTCTTAGAATGGTGTCGTTTCTTCTTGGAATGGCTTGAAGAATTCAGGGAATGGTCATTCGTCGAGGTCATTCTTGTTTGACTTGAAGGTTCCACAACCTTGACTTGAGCTCGAATATTCTAAGTCCAAAATCTTGACTTAAGGTTGGAACAGGCATTCATCTCATGGAACGAGTGTTTCTCTTCAGGTCGCAAAAAGTATCAAGATTCCAAAGCTGTAAACGAGATAATGGAACAACGTCGTTCATGTGGAAAAGGCTTGAGGAACGGTCTTTCTTCTTGGTCGTTCCTTCTTTAGATAAAAAATGATGTCTAGCTCGCGGATGTGTGTTAACCTTTTTGGATAAGTCTTTAGATGTTTGGAACGGCTTGCTGGAATGGTCATTCGGTTTGTCGTTCCTTGAAGATAAGAGTTTTAGCTCGATTAGATGCTTGCTTTATTTTGGGCAGAACCATGAATGGGGTCATGGAATGATGTCATTCCAAATTCAAACGGCTTGATTGGGGATTACTTTTCAGAAATACTTAATGAAGTAGGGCTTCCATCTGCGTGAACGGTTTTTCTACTTAGAAAATCTACATTTTCATTTTGGCTATGACTTATGTCATACCTTTGCACATTGTTAGTTCTTTAAGTAATCTTTTTTATTAATTTTGGCACATCAAAACACATGAGGGCTCAACAATCTCCCCCATTTTGATTGATGACAAAACTAAGCGAAATTGAGTTCCACAGAAGTTAAGAAAATGCAAAAACTCTCCCCCTTGCAATAAGCATATCCTTTCAACCAAAATGAACAATAAATTTAGAGCAAAAGCTTCCCCTCACAATAGGCTTTTCCATACACAATAAGCACAAGCTCAAACAATACTTCTATAATTCTCATCTCATCTCATCAACTCATCACAACTACTGGATCATCCACGATTTACTCAATTCTCAATTCTTTACGCTCTTTTTGTCATGAATAAGAAAGATATATAAATATCAACTCAAACACATCATTATAATTCACATAAAGCAACAAGTATGATGGAAAGAAATTCATAATAAAAATAACAATAAAAGTTCATATCATGAGAAACATAAAAAGATATAAACAATAAAACAAATAAGCAACACTAAGTGAAATGTCTCCTCATGTGCAACAAAGAACATAAGAGTCAACAACATAAAACTAAATAGATCCTAAGACTCTAAACCTGAGGAGAATGTGGTGGCTGGTTTGGCATAGAGGATCAAATCTGACGAAGCTCGTGGACTACCTCAGCCATTTAAATGCTTCGATCAAACTTCTCATCAAAATGAGACTTCACTCACTCAAAAATTTCATGAGCTTGACTGGTACAGCTAGAGCTTGAGCCAACCTCTATCCTTGTCCTTTTTCTACCCATTGGAGATTCGTCATCCGAGGATTCTATCTTTTCCTCTTGCCTCTCTTCACTTTCAGTGGAATTATCTTCCATTCTCCATTCCTCCTTAGCCTATCTTTTGAAGCATGTATCAATCCATAAGATTGTTATCATTGAACTGAACTTTTCTTGGTTCATCTTGTTCAGTGATGGCTAGGTTGAGTTTGGAGCAAATAAAAGTGATTAACATTTTGAAGGATGCTTCCCGGAATCCTTCCTAATTTCTCCAAGCGTTACAAATCAGCAAAGAGACCGTGTTTACCTCTACTTTCTTCACAGTAGCCTTTAGCAACGACAAATCCTTTGTAGTCACTTGAGCATTGGTTCTCTTTCTGGTAGTTAAAGAATACGTGACAAATCTATGAAACATGCTCATTGTTGGATCTCTCGGCTTTGTAGACTTTGATTTAAGAGGATCATACCAACCTTTTCCTGACAATGGTCCGTGCTAGCTTAGAACTCCAATTTTTGGGAGGATTAAGTACTTATTCACATCCACATTCTAACCATTGAGCCGATTGCTTAGGGCTCACTATATGTTTAGTATTCTTCAACCTAAACTTCATGGTTTATGGAGAGTAAAACTTAGTACCTTTTTCTAACATTTCCATACTACTATAGAACTCATACACTAGATGCTCATACCCATCCAATCTCATTCCTATTAGGGCTCTCCAGTTAAGATTTTTTACCCATTCAAGGATCTGATTTAGAAAACCCAAATGACGCAAAAAAAACCAATCGAAGATGCATCCAAGAAACATACCTCTATCTGCCATCTTCTTAAACTCTCTCTTTTGTTGAGCATCTCTGAAAACTACTCCATTCGACCCAATGAGAGCTCCTAACCAAAGGAAAGTGCCTTCACTTGCTACTCTTTTGACTCCAGGCATCTTAGTGTTTGATTTGGATTAATTTGGGACAAGTTTGGAGTGATTTGGTGAAGATTTGAGTGAAAAAGCTAGAAAGGACATAAAGAGAATGGCTATCATTTTTGTGAAACTGGAACAAGATAATTTATATATTTTGTGTGGAATGAACGTTCGCAGTAGCAGGAACAGGCATTCCTAGGGTTATCAACCCTAAAAATTATGGCAGTTAAGAGGAGCAGACATTCGTGAAACAGACACGGGCATTTGGGAAGCAGGAACGAGTGTTCCTACAAGTGTAAACCTAGGGTTTTGGCAGACAACCATGAACGGGCATTCCAAGGATTGAGCGACTGTTTTGACTGAAATGGTTAGGGGGAACTGTCGTTCCAACAAGAACACTTAGACAAAAAGTAGGAAAATTTTCATGTATTTTTTACCTTTTTGGACATTAACTAAAATATCATTAGACAAAAGTATCCTAGACATTTCAACCACTCAGAGGAATTTTCATGTGTGAAAATGTATCAAATTAATAAAAACCACAAGATTGTATTAACCTGATTTTCTTCAATCAAAACACAACAATTTCATCACTCATACATGCATCACCAATACAAGTTCAATCTTTTTACAAACTAAGTTGCAAAAACCTTACATATGAACTCAATGAATTCTTCTTCCTCGTGAGAAGACTTGCCACTTAGTAATTTTTAAGTCCAACCTCTAATGTCCCATGTCGGGCCCTTTTGGGGGTGCAGGTATAGATTTCTCTATACAGGTTATTGCAAAAGTAGATTTAGAGCACCCAAGTGTTCATCCCAGCCTTTTTACCCTTGCATTTGGATGGATAAAATCATTAATGGAGTTATGTAAGAGATATTGCACTTTGGTTCTTACAAAGACCATCATGCAATCAATTTTAACCATATCATCACACTCAATTCAAACATGTTGTCAATATGCAC